TATTTTTGCATCATGAGCAGCAATGTTTGCTCCTTTAGCCTCTGCATGCAGCCTAATGGGGCCAAAATACAAGCACGGCTTTTTGTTATACGCTCTTCATATTTCATCTCGTTGCCTGAATCATCGCTTCAAACAAATATTTTACAGAAGGTTTATGAATAAACCAAACATCTACTGTTCTTACTGCTTCATAACTGTCAAGCTTTACTGCCAAAACATTTTCTGCAGTAACCAACCAGCTACCAGTCACTCAAGAAATTAGTTGTAGCTGATAAAACTGCATACAACTGCATACTAGCAAGTAAAAGGTTTTCTTCAAACCAAAACCCCGTATTTTTCCAAAATAAAACCAGGAAAGATATATTGTGCACACAGCAGATTCTCCATGTCTACATTGCAAACATTTCTGCAGAAAATGTTAAGGACAGTTTAAAAGGCCAGCTGAACAGTTCATGTGTGTTTTCTAAGTGTTAACAGAGTCGGAATCTCCACTTTAATGTTTATTTATACAGTGTCAAAGTGCATCACACGCCTCTTTTTGACGACAAACGTATCCAGTTTAAACACCAAAAATTTGGAATTGAACAAATCAAATTCAGTAAAAATTTATGCAGCAAATATCCTTTTTAATATTAAGCGTTTAGAGAAAAAGCTAAACAGATAAACTCTACTCCTGTAGTATAATCTGTGGGATTAAAATCATAGAATAGAGGTAACAACAGCTCCTTGCTCTTATAAATATATCAGGCACTGACAACTCTGCTACGTAAAATGTGGGGGGGAAAGTACTTTATTTGTTCTTTAGGATATCAGAGATGTAATCTTCAGATGCATCTGATCAAAAAAAAAAAATGTACACCACACTGAAAAGAAAGCTCGAAAGATTTGACCCCAATAGTTGGACTAGTATGTCACTTTAAATTTATGGATATTGGTCCTTGCATTTGTCCATTAGCTGAGCTATTAGCCAACCTGATGGGTCCAGAAAATGGCACTGCGGATGAGCAGCAATGGAACGCAGCAACTAAAGCAGGTCAGACCCACATGGCTGATTAGGACAGTAACCAGCCACAGTGGTTTTACCAGCAATCACTGCAGCCTCACCTTGCATGACTCAGCAGACAGAAGCTTTTTATCCTCTTTCACAAGGGCCAGACTGATAAATGGCTTGGATTATTACAAAAACTCTATTTAATCACAAAAAACAAACTGTAAAGTTTTGTAGCAATTTTTTTACAAAATCCTTTAAACAGTCCTTTAGCATAACTACTGAACAACTTGAATGATTATATTACTGAATTAAGTTCCATAAAACAGCTGGAATCATTTCACAGGACCCAGTTATAAAACATATAATTTAAGGTTAAGCTTTACATGTAATTAAATACACATTTGCACTTAATAGCTCATACAGAGAAGTTGTATGGCCTAAAATCCTTGAACATAGTTAACATGACTTAAAATACTGAGTAATCCTTCCCACCGAGCAAATATTGGTTGAAAAGACAGTGAAATGATGATGTCTACATTTGGCTGAAAAGTGGAAGGTGACAAGCCGTTATTTTAGATCGTTAAAAAGATTGTTTGCAATGTCTTTTTAATGTCTATAATTGGATTAAAGAGGGACAAAATCAGACCAACGAAACACAGGCTAATTTTCAACAATTATTTCCAGACTAAATCAGCCTTAAAACCAACGTCTAAATGACGTCTGGTGTTTGGGGTGAGTTTTGTATGAGGCCAAATGTTTCTAGCAATTCATTTCTATCTAAAACCCTTTAGAGTCTGATTAAGGCTGGAATATGGTAAACTCCTAAGTTTAGTAAGCGATTTCTCACCTGGATGCAGCTGATGTTCAAAGGGCGATCAGGTGAATTAATGGTCTGAAACTTTAACAGTAACTTATTTATTTCAATGTAAGGAGATGTCATTGGAACTAGAAGGAAACAAAGTTTTTAAACTTAAAGTCTAGATAAAAAAGGGGGTGATCCAGGGGTTTTGCAACAAGGGCGGCTGTCAGCAGCTACTCTTGTAATCTGACTGTTCACCCTACCTGGTCACTCCTATTACAGCTATCATTCCGGCTGCAGAAAGGAGTTTACATGGATGTAAGAAGTGTTGTCCAATTTGTGCTTTTGTACCTACTTTTAGTGCATTTCCCTACCCCCACTATGAACATCTATTCAATGAATGCCTAGCAGCAAAACAATGACTTTCTGGAAAGTGAATGTACGCTATATGCTATATGTATGAGCAGAATCAGCTAAAACATGCAGCTTTTGGCTACAACAGCCTGTTGGATACGGGCCTTTTCTGTACATCCAGCAAATAACTGGATTCCCTCACAAAGTTCATGACCAGTGTAGTTTCTCACCAAATCAACATGCCTGAAAACTTTGTCCTAAGGTTTATTAAAAACACTATCATCTAATAAAATATTGATTCAAACAATGATTAAATATCAGTGATATTAGCCCTGTATTCACTTTCTATATTCTTAATATTAGAACCAACCTCTGCTAATGAACAGTTCCTACAGCACAGAGTTGCAACTGGCAATAAGCTGTGGATGACGCACACTCCCATTAGATGGTAGTTAAAATGACTATGAGCTATTTAGTTATTGGCTTATGCTGCTGGAGGACATAATGACCACTTTCACTAACTCTACAACATTCTCTACCATTCTCCAATTTCACATAATTTCAATTTATCATCATGTTCTCTCTTTGTTTTTTTTTCATTCTTCATATTAGCTACAGTACATCCGGCCTGTTGTGATTGTCTGTGACATGAGCATCAGCTGAGATGTTTCTGCCAATTATTTCTTCCTCTACTTTTACAAAATAATACATTTGGCCTTCTTTTTGTGTTCAACACTGTCTCTCTCCAGGATTTAGTTGGAGACTAAATCCTTATTTTATTCCACAGATTCTACAGCTGCCTAATAGCTTACTGTATATGCGTTTCTTTGTTTCACTTCTATATAAAGCTAATGAAGTTTACAGTAGAAAGTAATCCCGTTCAGCCATTCTGTGCCTTTTTCTGTTTGTTGTGTTTTTCTTTTCCTTTTGAAAGTCCTTTTTAATCGAGGCAGATGACCGCTGACACGGAGACTAATTTTCTTAAAGGTTTTTTTTTTCTGTTAGAGGAAATTTTGCATCTACTGTCTTCTCGTTTTTCAGGAGGAAGGATTAATGCTAACTTTGTTACTCTATGAAACTGTCAGAATTCACTAATTGACCAAGGAACAATGGACAACTATGACGAAAGGTTAAAATCGAGGAGGTTCGGAAGTAAAACCACATGTACAATGCCTCAGACAAATTATATATCCTCTTCGATGTCTAGCAACTTTAGATCAATCTCTGTGACCGTGATATCTTGCAGATGCGCCACTGTTGTTTTGGAAGATAAACACTCCCGCCGGTGCCGCCGAAGTTCTCGTGACCATCTGCCAAAGTTCTCACGAGTTTTCGAATAGGCTCCCCATTGTGCTTTGGTGGGAAACTGCTGTGCGTCCCTAGAAATTCCAGACCGACGGTGCAGAAGCATACAAGCAAAACTAGTTCGCGACCAGACGCAAGCGAAATCTGATGTGGTTGCAGAAGTGAAATCTTAACCTGACTCCGCCAGATGGATTTGCTCCGCATATCCATCTGGAAACCTTCCGGAGAAGTAATTTTGGGAAGGGGCGAAAATACTGGTTAGCTGATTGGCCTATGGTGGTGATAGACGGGCCAAATAAACCAATCAGATCAACGAAGCATATGACATAACAGAGCGACGACGAAGAGGAACCCATTGATAGATCAAACTCAAGCCTCCAGAGCAGTGTTTTGCTCTTCTTTCAGTGAAGAAATACTCTGTAATTCCGATAAAACTTGCTCGATAGCCACGCTAACGCTAGTTTCATCGGCTGAAGCCGCCGTGTTCTTTAGACAAAACTGTCGCGCTTTTCGTTGCGTCACACCTCAACCCGCCTCAAAGCCAACGCTGATTGGACGTTCGTTTGGTGAACGGCTCCAAATTTTCTTTAACGGAGAGTAACCAGACTGATTAGCGAGTGAAATCTTGAAAGCTTGCGAGATCAGGATGGTCTCACGAGGCTAGTGAAATCTGGCCTTAAGACGCTTCTTCACTGGGTTCATCCACTGTTCTCTTTGTTTACGCTTCTGACCGAATGGGTGGAGTCACGTGATTATAAACCTGCTGCAGGGTCTTAAAGGGGAAGGATATACCAGCCACCTGCACACACAGGCTAAACAACAAAATTAATTTCATTTATTTTACCGACATGGGAAAACTGTTGCCGGTTATCATAGTGAATGTCTGGAACTGTATGTATTCGGTTTATCACCCTGGCCGATTTTGAAACACAACAAAAAGGCTTCCTATAAAAAATGTTTTTGACATTTTTGTTTTGATTTGTTCACAGTTTTATTCTTGGTAGGAGTGTCATCACTCATTACTCCAGGGAAATGAAATTTTTATGAAAAATGTCTGGAAAAAATAGATGAATTGCATAAGTGAAATTGTTCTGTCCCGGGTAAATGACAACCTACAACTGCAAAACAAAACTATTGTCACCAATAGAGTAGAGAAAAAAAATTGAGTTTGGCACTTTAACAAGAACACTCCTCAATACAAAATAATGGCCAAAAATTTGCAAGAGCTGATAAACATGCCTGTATTCCAAGCTCTTTTTAAAACTGTTTCTAAATATGATAAGAAAAAAATACATTAGAAAATGTTAGATAAACCCACAGGCTCCTCTCCTTTGAGGGATATTTCTCTAGAATCACTTGGCCTAATATGATTTGTTTAATATCCAGAATTGTTAAATTATTATTCAAGTATTTTATACAGTGGAATAAAATTAGGAAAACATCAACACAAATCTTGAAGAGATAAATTTGCATTTGAATAAAAGAAAGTACAAACATCAGAGAATATTAACAACAGTGCATATGAATTAATGTTAAGATTAGATATCTTACCGTTCACACAGATCTCGTAGGGTGAACACAGCTCATTCTCAAACAGGCAACCTGTGAGCAGAGAATCAGAATACAAACAAGTTCATCTGTCAGAAGTAGATTTTTCCCAAAGCTGCAAAATGTGATCGATGCAGCATCACATATTGTTGGTGGCAGCATGAAGAAAATCTGTAAATGATGATGCGAAAGAAAAAAAAGTACTTGCCACATTTAGACATATAGGTCTAATAAAAAAGCGAGTTGCTTTCAGGCACAGCTAGTCAACTAAACCAACTCGTCAGTTCTTCTATAAAGGAATCCCTTATCTAAAGTTTCTAACCCAATTTTAGGTTCTTTTATTTTTTATTTTCTTTATTTTCAGACAGCAATATGAGAGCTAATGACTTACCAAGACATCAGCTCTGTTTTCTGCTGCAGCTCTTTATTGCTACATTTGTCAGCTGTGAGCAGTAAATGCTTGCAGTTATCCTAAATTAACTCTGGGGTGAGCAAGAACAGGATGATACATCAAGCCAACTCCTTCAGAGCTCTCTGGGGAGAGGAGGAGAGTCGGCCATATTTCATCCCAGTCCGTTTACAGGAGAGTTGGCAGAACGCAGAACACAATTACTGAGGTTTAATCTGCTCCTATCAAACAAACAGAAATCCCTCTGAATCTGTAGTTATTTCTGGAATATCTCTGACACACACAATGCTGACTGTTTTTCTAGTAAAAGGATTTGCAGTAGGTTTTTTATATGAATATGCAGTAATTGGAAAGAATATCAATATACATAGTTGGAGTTAAGCATGACAATGTTGCTGTTCTTATAAGACGGGTTTGGCAAATATATATATATATATAATATATATATATATATATATATATACACATATAATATATATATATATATATATACATATAATATATATATATATATATATACACATATAATATATATATATATACATACACATATAATATATATATATATACATACACATATAATATATATATATACATACACATATAATATATATATATACATATAATATATATATATACATATAATATATATATATACATATAATATACATATATATATACATATAATATATATACATATATATATACATATAATATATATACATATATATATACATATATATATATACATATAATATATATATATATACATATAATATATATACATATAATATATATACTATACATATAATATATGTATAGTATATTATTTCTATAATATAGAGATATACATATATATATATATATATATATACACACATATATATATATATATATACACATATATATATATATATACACATATATATATATATATATATACATATATATATATATACATATATATACATATAATATATATATATATACACACCACACACACACACATATACACACACAAAAGAAAACCATTGTTGACCATCATAAAAAAAAAACCTACAGTCTTAAATTGGACTGATGTGTCCCCTACAGTAGCCGAATGACTCCCCTGCGACTCTGAGGCAAACCCCCTCCAACTTCCAGCCACTGGCCTTCTCCTTGGTGTACATACGGTATTTTTTACTCTGACTCCACCCCTTCACTGAATAACAGGGTCTGACCAGGTGATGATGCTTCTCTTTAGATCTTAATGCCACAAATCATGAAAGAAAGAATATTTTAGTACAAAATTTGATGTTTAAAAAGGAATTGTAAAGGAGCAGCCAAGGGCCCATCAAGGAAAGTGGGGAATGGCTACTTCTGTACATGGGAAACAGTAGGCATGTTGAAGAAGATGGTCTGTTGGTGAAAAAAATAAAAATAAACCTTTTGGAATACATAGCTCAAAGACATTATACCCACCATGAAACATGGTGGGGGTAGCATCATAATGTGGGGATACTTTTCTGAAGCAGGGGGTTAGGTAGTGAGAACTGATAATATGGATGGAGCTAAATACAGGGGAAAAAAGTTGGACTGTTATAACATCTTGAGACCTATTATTTGATTAAATCAAACAGAGAATGTTATTTGTGATTCCTCTTATTCATTTTCTAAGAGGGTGTCACTAAATCATCTGAAGCTACAACTGTGTGGCTGCTATTCATAAAGGCTAACTATGCTATATGCTATTCATATGGGCTAACTATGGAAGCAAAGACAACAATTAAATCATTGTCCATTGATTTGATTAACATCAAATCATCAGATGATGATTTGTCTCACTTCCTCTGGTCCATGTTTAGTGTTATACACACCATGTCAACAAACAGCACAAAGATAACTGGTAGCCCTATGTATAAGCCACCCATGATGCCAATTAGTTAAATACCTTAATTTACCATATCCCTTTGGTCGCATTATTTAATTGTTTTTATCAAAGCTGTTACTGTCAGGGTTTGGTTGTGGTTTGAGGACCCAAATGCAGAGGCAGAGAGGCTGAGGAGATTTCTTGCAGTTGATGAAAACAGTTAACAAAGGCATGAATCTAAAAATCCAACTTAAAATGCAAAGCAAACCAGAACCATGGAGACATCAGGGGAAACCGAACACGAGAAGCCAGCTAGAGATGAGGTAGGGAGAAAACAGCATTGAGAAACCAGTAACAACGGAAGCAGCAGCAACAACAGCAAAGAAACCAACCAGGAGTGACAGCAGAGGGAGAGTATATGTAGCTGACTGAGACAAAGGCAGGGCTAACGAGCTCATAAGGAGCAGGTGTGAGTGGAGACAACGAGGGAGCCAAGGGGAAAGGAACACACACAAGAGGGCAATAGAGGACAACAACAGAAAAACCTGAAAATAAATAAAAATAAATCTAGAAACACAAAGTAGGAAATAAACCAATAAAACACACGGATCAAAGTAAGACAGAAAGGAAGACCGTGACAGTGTCATTAGTTCTTTTTTGATCTTTTAAAGTGTTATTCATTTACTTTTGCAGATTAAAGGAATTTCTGTGACCATTGTGGGTTTTTCTTTCATAATATACCAACATTACAAATTTAAAACAACAATTTTATCCCTGTGTGTAGACAGACATACAGACAAAACTGAGGGCAAGATGTGCCCTCTTGAAGCAATCCTATTCAAAAGAAATCAAATTTTAATTCTTTCAACAAACATTGCTTGAATCGTAAATAAATCTCTTCTGCCAAAAAGTGTTTACATAAATGGTTCAAAGCTGGTTAAAATTAAAATCTGTTCAACAAAACCTAGTATCTTTTGTGAACAATTTAAATGTATAGAAGATGATCTTTTATTTCCGGGTGCATAATCTAAAATGAGTGGTCCTCCTAATTGTCAATCATTCTGGTAATATGTTTATGTAATGCCGTTCTATGACAGACAGTCATTGAAGCTCACCTTTCTCACCGCGTTTCTTTGAAAATGGCCGATGGTCGTGAGAGAAAAAGTGTCTACAAAGTGTATGAGAAGAAGATAAACGCCTCAGAAGAGGCAGATATATCCCAGAATACTTTGCATGGAGAGCTCTCCTCGCAAAGGATTATGCGGCCCGCTGTCGCGTTAATAACAAAGACGGCTCAGGCACCGCGCTGTGGAGGAGGAGTTATGTCACTAACGAGAAAAAAGCAGTGATCATCTGTCGGAACGGTCAGTTAACTGAGTTTGCTCTAAAGTCCACTATATAGTCCCTGCTGTATGTGGACACAGTAAGCTTGTATGAGCTATGAGAACATCACATTTTAAACAGGGTGTGCACGAGGAGAAATGGTCTTGTATATGTTCTTGCGCCATGTTTTTTTTTTTTTTAGGGGAGAGGTCTTTTAAAAAAATCCCCCACAATACCTTTAGGTAATGTGTAATAGCTTATGTGTGTATTTATTAAATGCTCATGTCCATAGGGTTTTCTGAGAAAAATAACTTTTGTTGCTTTTGAATTCAAAGTGATCAGCAACTTAATATGTATGAAATAAAACCAGTGACATTGGAACAGAAAGGCAGAAGAGGCACTTTTGCAATCATGTGCAATCAGTGTGTCTCAGGCAGCTATCTGTAATACAAAAACAAAAAATTTCTGAAGTAAATCAGTCTAATTGTTTGTATAAATAAAGGCTATTAGGGTTAGTCCACATATAAGCAAATGTGAAACAAGCTGCCATTACTAACAAGCATTATGTGGGATCACCAGCTGAGACAAGAAAAATAACAAGGATGCTGTAACCATAGCAACACTCACTGCTCTCAGAGTGCCTCTCTGCCTTTCAGAGATCAAAGAGTGCCACCGCATTAATGGAGCTGAAGCTCTGGGTTTCCCTTTCAAACAGCTGCACATGTCCACACCTGAGAGCCCAAACAGCACAAACCGCTGGAGGTCAGCAAGTAGAGAATGATGAGAGCCCTTCAGTCTCTGCAGCTGCTGCTGACGACTGAACTCTGCTGTCCAAGTCTGCTGGTTTTAGCCGAGCTGCTAATGGCTCCATGGACAAAATACCTAGTTTAGATTGGTTTGCTTTTAGAGCATGTAGACACCTTTCAGACCTTATATGAGGTCCTGTATTTTGGAGGAAGATTTGTACTTGAGATCAGAAAAACAAGCACAATAAATACAGTCTACCTTTGTGCATTGTATCCCCCCCCCAAAAAAAAATCTTATCTCATAATGATGAGTTCAGGAATAATGTTCTAATCGTCACCTCTGTGATTATCTCATCTTAAGTTTTTGTCTTAAAATGAGATGAAGAAAAAAATGATAAAGTAGTCTAAGTGAGTTTCTGGATGGTCAATGTTTTAATATATGGACAAGATAACACAAGATGCTATTTCAGTCTGCTGTCTCCTGTAACCTGTTATACTTCAATAGGTGTTTCTACAGTAAGTTATTCCTTAGTTCTCCAGAAAACAAAAAAATTCTCAAGTGAAAAAATATATATATTTTTTCATGTTTGTATTACATCTCATGAATCTGTTTGAGTCAAACTGTTTTATCATTTCTTTTGTTTTCCCCACACTTTGCAAGTCGGTACAAAACAGATACAAAAACAGGAAAAAAATACTTGCTGTATAGTAAAAAGTTTGCTAAAAT